GAGGGAGAGCTGTCTTTGACGGAGCTAGCTGGCTCCGATCTGATGAGCCTGTTGCTTTGTGGGTCAAGGTAACAGTTGCATTTTTTTCTTTGGCTTCTATAAATTGATACTTTCATTTTCTTCAGTCTCATGCTTTCATCTCTTGTTATAATATGCTTCAGTGGTTGTTTGCTCTCTCTCATTGGATTCCTGTTGTTTTCTTAGATATGGTTATTTTGTAAAAGTGATTGCTGTTTTTAGTAATTTAACAGTAAATGAAAGTTCAGTAAGTATATTCTCATGTCACTATGTTTATGTTTGTTTCACCAAGTATAGTGGAGAGGGAAATGGCAGGTAGGAATTCGATGTGCAAGGGCTGACTGGCCATTATCAACTTTGAAAGCAAAGCCAACTCATGACAGGAAGAAATATTTTGTAATATTTTTTCCCCATACAAGGAATTATTCTTGGGCAGATATGCTACTTGTTCGATCAATTAATGAGCTTCCAGAGCCTATTGCTTATAGGACACACAAAATTGGACTAAAAATGGTTAAAGATTTGACAGTTGCCCGGCGTTACATAATGCAAAAGCTGGCTGTAGGAATGCTGAATATAATTGATCAATTTCATTTGGAGGTATGCTATCTGTCTCTTGTTATCTACATTTCCCTAAATATCCTCTCCCTCTGCACGGATAAATCACCCACACATAAAATGAGGAAAAGAAATTCTGGTATGACCTTTTCTGACTTTCTGTTTGTCTTACTGTTTAGTTAATCTTTATTTTTCATTAAATGTGTTTAGGCTTTGATAGAGACAGCTCGTGACGTGATAGTATGGAAGGAATTTGCTATGGAGGCTTCCCGCTGTAATGGTTATTTTGATCTTGGACGAATGCTTTTGAAGCTTCAAAGTGTAAGAACCTTACTACTGATGTATCCTAAATATTTTTTTTTTTCATTTTTGTAGCATACCGTGAGTTAGAAGTTACTGCATCACTTGGGAGTCCTAACTGTGAATTTATATAGTTACGTATACAAACACGTACAGACATATCTAAAAGAGTTAGGTACCATGACAGCCAATTGCACTATGTGACCACCATCCCATATACAAACTACCTGGTGAATGTCAATTCCTTGTGATTATACCATTTTAGTAGTGTCATTCAGTTTTTTGATTCCCTATCATGATTATCTCCTATGGAAACATAGTAGTCGTGTATAGCTCAGTTGGGATACTTCTAAGGTATAAATTATTATTTTTTGGATGACAACTCTTCAGTTTATCCTTTTATTTGTTCAGATGCTGTGAATTTTTGTAAAAGCATTAATAAACAACTTATATTGTCTTCTATTACCTTATATCCTCTCTCATTTATCTTGTGTTATGCTCTTCAATTCTATCAGTATACAAAATTGAGTACTTGGT